ACAATCACTTTTGTGTTTAAAATAAAAAGGAGGCGGGGCACAGTGGCTCCTCACATCTGCAATCCCAGCACTTTGGGAGGCTGAGGCAGGAGCATTGCTTGAGGCTAGGAGTTTAAGACTAGCCTAGGCAACTTAGCAAGACCCTATCTCTACAAAAAAATAAGAAAAATTGTGGTGTTGCAAGTCATATAGTCCCGGCTACTCAGGAGGCTAAGGCAGGAGGATCGCTTGAGCCCAGAAGTTGGAGGCTGCAATGAGCTATGATGATGCCACTGCACACTAGCTCAAAAAAATTTTGAGCCAGCATCTCGCTCTGTTGCCCAGGCTGGTCTCGAACTACTATGCTCAAGCAATCCTCCCACCTAAACTTCCAGAATAAATAGGATTACAGACGCATACCACTGTGCCTGAATCAGAAATAAATTTTATTATGGTATGCATAATTTCTGGAATGATATTCAAGAAACTGGTAACAGAAAATATTACTCTTGGGGAAGCAGACTGGGGTCTGAGGAAGAAGGGAGATTTTCTTTATTATATACTCTTTTGGACAACTGCATTTTTAATAAACATGTTGATATATTACTTTTCCAATTTAAAATAAAATAAAATTTTCTTGTTGACTTAGATATTAAAGAAACACCAAGATTCAGAAACATATAAAAAGGCACCAAATATAAAAAACATATTAAAAAAAACATGTTCAATAACCCCAAAATTACATTTAAAAACTATTCTTTGTTTAAATAAATAAAAAAATTCTCTCTAAAATAAAAACCAGTAACAAAAATCCCCCCAAATACAATATGAAATCCTCAGGTAAAGGAGTTGAGGATCCCCTAGGTTATCTGATTCCTCAAATCTATGACACAGATAACCCACAGAGGTAGACTGCAGCATCACTCATCACAATCAATGTCAGGTGCATGATCTACCTACCGAATCAGCTGCCAAATGATTATTTGAATTGGTGAACTCTGATACCAGCTCATCAGCTACTTCATTATACGATGTTGTACCTTTTCGCTGAACTTTCTCACACACTTTCATTGAAAAATGTCTCAAACCTTTTCCATTTTTATCTCCTTTTTTGCTTCGTTTACTAGAAGAGAAAAAAAAAATATACTCCATTATACATATTAGCGACTCCGTTTACAAATCTCTATAAGAAGATAATAACTTAAGTTTTGCTTTGAGTGGCAAAAACTTAAATTGAATAGAGACGAGAAAATGCTTTTAAACTTAACTTTTGCCTTAAGAGCCTAATAAATTATGAAATTAGAGTGCTTTTCCAGGTACATCATTTATTCAACAAGTATTTACTGAGCAGTTACTAGGCTGTGCCAGATATTGTTATAGACACTGGGAATAATCAGTGAAAAAACGCAAAAACCCTGCCCTTGCAGAGCTTATATACTAGGCAATATTCATCTTTTTGTAGTCTATGTATATTACAGCTTTTTTCCTGAAATTAAAAGTCAGTCATGCACCACATAGTGATATTACAGTCAATGACAGGCTGTACGTACAACAATGGCCTGTGAGATTATAATGGACCTGAAAAATTCCTATCACCTAGTGATGTCATAGCCATCAAAGTATCATAGCACAACACATTACTCATGTGTTTCTGGTGATGCTACTATAAACAAAACTACTGCACTGCCAGCCATATAAAAGTCTAGTATTAATATATACAATTATGTACAGCACATATTACTTGATAATGATAATAAATGACTATGTTACTGGTTT